TTATGTTAGTTGTTAGATAGGAGGTGGGGACCACAATAGTTATGTGAGTCCAAATTTTATTATATTTTTGTGTCTTATATATGCTGTTTATGTTTTTCCGCCCTATAAGGGCATAGTTGTCTTTGTATTGCTCTATTATTTTTAATATAAATAATAAGTGAAGGGGCGGCCAGATCATTGCTCTCCTTTCTTTTCAACTTCTCTTCTTCTCATCTTCTCCTTCTCTCTTCCTTCTTTCTTCAAGAAACTCCTTTTATTTCATATTTTTTAATTCAACAAGCTTCCTATTGATTTATCTTTCTATAAATGTATAAACCTTAATTGTAGTTCCAATAAATGATCACAAATTGCATATCAACTAATTGAGTTGGATATGGATTTCTTGATCAGATAAAACAAGGGAAAAGCCAAGTCAGATCGGAGAAATCTACAGTAAAAAAATTAAGGAATCACAAGAAATACATCCTTTCCCTCTGAGGACAAAGGAGGAAGATAGTGTGGTTCTTGTTGGGACAAGCTCTGTAGCAAGGACAGAAGGTGGTCAAGCTGGTGAATGTTCACTTGAAGTGTCAGGGAATGACACCAACAAGGATAGTGAGTTGGCAGCATATCAGTGTTTTTCAGAAAAAAATGTGGTGCTGGAGTTAGAAAGAATCAGTGATAATTCTAGGAATATGCTGGCTTTTGAGAAAGTCCCTAATGTACTGAGAAGATTTAAAACTCAAAAGAGTTAGAGAACTGTCCGGGTGTCTAAGGTTTTTTCCAGATTGCAGGGGGAATTATAGATGGGACCCATAAAGAGGCTGAAGAAAAGTATTAAGAAAAGTAAGGCAGGTCCTAATCAGGATTAAGGAGGCACTAAGCAATTGATCATTTAGGTGGGCAATAGTCATTTAGAAAGAAGGTCCTAATCATTAAGTTTGTTTATGTATGTTTTCTAGGGATTTTGGGTGTTTCTCTTGCTGGTTTTGGGAATTTTGAGTCCAATGTTTTTAGAATATGGTCTTCTTCTTCCTTGTTGGGTGAAATCTTATCACCTGGTTCTAATTTTCTTTTTCTATTTCAATACATTTTCTTTTTATTTATTACCAAAAAAAGTGCCTTGGACAAGTGAACTAGAGTCAATTCAATTTTGACACGACAAGCTTTTTGAAGCATAGTTTTTAGTGCTTGTTTGCCAAATCTCGTAAASAGGATTCATTATGGATTCAAAATACACTTGCTTCCAAGAAATGAGAATGCTATGAAGTCTATTATGATAGAAGAATAAACCAATTGCAGAAGTTGGTGCATGGCCATGTCCATACTTGAATGAATTTAAGATACAAAATTTGATATAAATCAATTGGCGAAATTCTCACCTGGTTACGGTACACAACATAACCAAGAAGGAAGTACACTAGCAAGAAAGGCAGAATCAAAGGTGCCAAAACAGAACAGGTGAACCCAAGGAGTCCAAAGAGAAGAACTTTTGGAACTTCTGTGTGGTATGGGAAAGATAGGGCACTGTATGATGGATCCTCCTTCTTTCCAAGTATAAATTTATTGAACCAATTGGAAACAAGAGCATAAAGTTGCATTATTTCAGAGGACAAGCTTGTCCAACCTGATGTTAAAACGTAAGTAATAAAGAAAGTAGCCTGCAAACATTTGAAAAGCATAATGTCATACAGTAGGTTATTAGAGTGCCACATTAAACTCATAATAAAAATTTAAAAACTTGGGAGCCTTTTGCTCCACTCATTGAACTTCAAACTATTTTCTATTATWGATGGTTAATTGCATATATAGAACCTGGAGTCTCATAAAATGAAGGCTAACTGCAACTCAACAACCAGTGAATAAATTATTTTCATACATTAAATGTGCAAAACAACTGGCTATTGTTGAAACATAGAAAGCTAAAAAATGAGAATTTCAACTGATGGAAGTTAATATCCACAAAGAAGTGATTCCATAGTTTCATGAGCAGGAACGAAACTTGACCGTTACGATGACATCGCAGTGGAAAGACAGGCAGGGCATTTCCAATAGAATTCTGACAAAAGAAAGCAGGATGATCAAAGCAAACCAGAAAGACTGGAAGTAACAATCACCTGCCTTGGTACAGCTTTTGCAAGTTGCATAGGTATATCTTTTGGTCTAGAAATGGCATTAAGCTGGCTGATGATGGATCCTGACAAAAGATTAACAAAGAAAACATTCCAGATTGTGAAGTATAGGACCTTGCAGCATGCACTCCTTTTCCTGCCACTACGAGAAATAGAACCTTCAACTGCTGAAAATAGCATCATCGTTGGTGGAACAAGATAAAGAAATAATTGCAGGATAACACTTGGAAGGTAACCTGTTACTAGCTGGCTTACAAATGTCCTGCACAGAAGTACATTTTAAGTCAGTTAGGTCCATGATTGTCTATCAGAAAACCAATCAACATGTAATTTTTTCACCTTTCAAAGTCTAAATACACCAATGAAGCATCCAAAGTAACTTGTGTCCATGTCAACAGATTAGAAATCTCAACAATATCCCTCTCAATTTCTTGAATACTGTATGCATAGTATAGTTCCTAAATCAAATATTAGATGATAATGTGGATGGAAGAATCTTCAAAAAGTATCTTGTTACAAGGAAAACTAGTGGAGGCCTTGTGTTATGTTATAAACCATTAGTTAAGCTTTACCCCGAATAAGAGTAGCCAATTTCCTATGGTTCCCATCTTATGTTATAAACCATTAGTTTTCAATAATTTTTTAAAAATACATACTTGGATGAAGTATCTGATAACAGAATTAGGTTTAGAAAGATAAACAGCAAAGAAATAAAAGAAAAAGAGAAGAGAAGAAAAGATACAGAGAAAAAAAACAGAAAAAGGGAGCAGAATGTAATGGTCCTGTTGCCCCACTCATTGATATAGATATGAGTGTAGAGAAAATGGTTGACCAGCTTGTGGTCCCCACTTGTTCATAAGTTTTTCCTTTGATTATAGTACTGCTAGAATACTCTTTTCTGTTGTTTCCAGTGACGGGTATTTGTACCACTTATTTTTGTAGACCTATTTTAATTATCACTTGGGGCGAAGACTAAGCCTGATCGAACCCCTCTCTTCATCTCTGTTTTCTTTTTTGTTTACTAAACAGGTTTGAATCTCCTCGGTTTCAGACAACCTGGTATCAGAGCAGGCCTAAAACTGGTTAGCGCTCTCATGTAGGTGTAGTCCAGCCAACTACATGAGAGTATTTCTAGGGCTGGAAGTTTCAGCTTGATTTGCCTGGTTCTTGGAGGTCATTGGAGATTGAAGGTGACCAAGGTTCAGAATACTTGGAGAGTTGTCGGTGACCAGGAAGAATCAAAGAAAACAGGTTGATTTCTGATTTAGAGCATAAATCAGAGATTGAGAGTGGCGCCCAGTGTTTTCTGGGTTGTTTTTCATACTTTTTTTGGACTGTCAAGCGTCTGAAATTTCTCTGGAATCAGTATAGCTGTTCACTGTTCTCTTGGATTGTTTTAGGGTTTCTTTACGGACTGCTCTTGTGGACTGTATTGTTTTGGCAGCGTTGGTCACCTCTACTGCCCACCATGTGTTCGTAAAAAGGCCTCTGAATTTTTTTTTTTTTCTCTGGGTGCTGTTGGACAATTCTTGGAATTTCTGTTTGGGAAAGGAGTTTGGACAGTGCTGTACTCTCCATTAAATGAATATCCTTTGTCCATTTCAGCATAGAAATGGCTGGAAATGAGAACAAACCAATGGAGAAGGACTTGTAGGAGCTGGAAACTCTATTGACAACAGTTCATTTCAGATTACTACAGTCAAGTTTGATGGAACAAACTATTTGGAATAGGCCCAATCAGCCGCGATGGCCATTGGAGGGAGGGGAAAGATGGGGTATGGGAGGCACAAAGAAACCAGCACAGAAGGACACTTCCCTTGCTAAATAGGTCCAAGAAAATTATTTGATTATGACTTGGTTATGCAACTCCATGCAGCCTCATATTAGTAGAAACTATCTTTGGGCAAAGACAACTAAGGAGATTTGGGACAATATGAAAGAAWCCTATTCTCAGCCCCTTAATGTTGCTAGAACCTATGAACTAAAAATTGAGGTGAATAATCTTGAACAGGGGGAGAAACCTATGTGAATTTATTTCTCCACCTTGAAATCATTGTAGTATGAGAGTGATCATCTTGAGACTATTGAGTGGGAGAGCTAGAAAGATGCTACCACATATAGGAAATTAGTTGAGAAAAATAGAGTGTTTGAACTCCTAGCTAGGTTAAACTCTGACTATGACATTGTAAGACAGCAACTTCTCACTAGAAATAATGAGGAAAGTGGAAGAAAAGTTATATTACAAACTCCATCTATGGAATCAGCTTTAGTAGCTATAAAACTGAAGACTGAAGATGATGAGGGATGTAAAGAAGGATGGAAAGAGGGGTGTGTTTTGTGACTACTGTAAGAAACCAAAACATACTAAGGACACTTGTTGGAAGCTTCATCCTCAGCTAATTCTAGAGACTTAGGAACAAGAAAGGAAATGCTAATGCAACTATAACCACAGGAGCTTCATCCACACCCAACACTAGATCCAGTTCTCTTGATGCATCGACTGCTGTTAGGGCTACTTTATCTCAGCTGGAGAATGAAGTTGGCTTCTCTGGACAATCTCATTCTACTCCTCCTCCCACTTCTGTGTTTGCTCAATCAGGTACAAGGGCCACTACCTATCATGCCTCTACCCCAGGCAACACTAGCCATTTTTGGATTGTAGATTCAGGTGCATTTGATCATATGACCAGTTTATCTTCCTTATTTCACACCTATTGCTTGTCCTCTAGCAGAGACAAAGTGTCTATTGCCAATAGCTCTCTTGTCCCTATTTCAGGCAAGGGAGACATCATGTCTCTGATGCTATTTCTTTATCCTCAGTCCTGCTTGTTCCTAAACTAAGTACTAATCTACTTTCTGTCAGTAGTATCACTAAACACCAGAACTGTTCAATGACCTTTTTTCCTGATCATTGTGTTTTCCAGGATCTGGCTACGAGGAAGGTGATTGGGACTGGCCATGACATGAATGGGATCTACTTGCTTAAACATCCCCCTAGGAAGAGTAAAGAAGTTGGGAAGTCTTTTGTGTCACAGCTTGTGAGTCAGATTATGCTTTGGCATAATCGATTGAGCCACCTATCTTTTGGGTCTTTAAGGAGTCTTTTCCTAATTTGTTTGAGTCAATCCAAGTGTCCAGTTTGAAATGTGAGAGTTGTGAGTTGGCAAAGCATTGTAGATCAACTTATTCACAAAATAATAAAAGTTCTTTTCCTTTTGAAATTGTGCATACTGATATTTGGAGGCCCTATCATATTCCGACTATGGGTGGGTACGAATACTTTCTATTGTTTGTTAATGACCACTCTCGGTTTTCATGGGTTTACCTCGTGCACTCTCGGGATGAGGTTCCCACTTTGACCTGCATTTTTCATCAACCCTTATCTTCCTATCTCCTTGTAACATGGAGTGATTCATCAGAGCACTTGTCCTCATACACCTCAGTAAAATGGTGTTGCTGAGAGGAAAAATGGGCACCTCTTTGAAGTGTTGTTATCTCATAAACAAGATTCCTTCACGAGTCTTGGACATGAAAGCTCCTTTTAACTTGTTGTATCCTGATAAGGAGCAGTTTTCTATTCTTCCCAAAACCTTTGGTTGCACTTGTTTTGTCCAAATCCTTGGGCCTACCCATTCAAAATTTGATCCTAAGGCTGCCAAATGTATCTTCCTAGGGTATGCACAAAATCAAAAGGGGTATTATTGTTATGACCCTGTCTCGAGAACCAGATTTGTATCCATGGATGTCACCTTCTTTGAAGATGTCCCCTATGACCCTAGAGTTTCACCTTAGGGGAAGAGTGGTCAGTAGGGTGTATTTGCTCAAGATGCTCCTTTGCATATTCCYACAAGTGGAGGGGAGTGTAATGAGGGGAGTTGTCAAAAGTGTAAAGAATTGAGGGTGTTTCACAGAAGATGGTGGCAGCAAGTTGGTTCTCCTATCTCTTTTGCAGCACCAGATTCAGGTATTGCCTCCTCCTCATCCAATCCTACTACTGATGGCATACCCACTTCCACCACYGAGCCTCAGCCATCCTCAAATGACCTTGACCTCCTGATTGCAGTACGTAAGGGGAAGCGTAGGTGTACCTCATCCTCTGCCCATTGTATCTCCCATTTTAGCCTCCATTACTGCCACTCCTATCCCTAGAACAATTCAAGAGGCCCTTGTTGTCCTTGAGTGGAAGGAAGCAATGAAGATTAAGATGGATGCCCTTACCAAAAATGATACTTGGGAACTGGTTGATCAACCAAGAGAGAAGCATGTTGGGTGTAGGTGGATATTCACAGTGAAGTATAATGCTGATGGTGCAGTTGAAAGATATAAAGCTAGACTGGTGGCTAAGGGATACACTCAAACTTATGGTATTGATTACTTGGAAACCTTTGCACCAATTGCAAAAATGAATTCCATCAGGGTTTTACTGTCTCTTGCTGCTAACTTTTCTTGGCCTCTGTTTCAGATGGATGTTAAAAATGCATTTCTAAATGGTGACTTGCAGGACGAAGTGTATATRGAGTTACCTCCTGGTTTTTATGATGCAAAGATTGGTAAGAAAGTTTGCAAGTTGAAGAAAGCTTTTTTATGGTCTAAAACAATCTCTAAGGGCATGGTTTGATATATTCTGACTTGCTTTGGAAAGATTTGGCTATGTTCAAGCCAAATCTGGCCGCATTCTATTCATTAAGAAGAAAGGATCTCTTTTGACTCTCCTAACTGTCTATGTGGATGACATTGTTGTGACAGGAAGTGATATTGATGAGATTAATTCTCTTAAGCAACTACTTAATCAAGAATTTGAAGTAAAAGACCTAGGTGAGTTGAGGTATTTCCTTGGGATTGAAGTGGCAAGGTCCAAGCATGGCATTTTTGTTTCCCAGAGAAAGTATGTTCTTGATCTCTTGGAAGAGACAGGAAAATTGGGAGCTAAGCCTATTGATATTCCTTTGAGAAAAATCATAAGATAAATGTAGAGGATGGTGAGCCTCTAGAAGATAAAGGTATGTATCAATGGCTTGTAGGAAGACTTCTCTACCTATGTCTAACTCGCCCCGACATTTCTTATGTTGTCAGTGTTGTTAGTCAGTACATGCACTCTCCTTGTTGAGAGGATTTGACCCGACATTTCTTATGYTGCTACTCGCTCCAGTGTTGAAGATGAATACAGGACTATAGCTAATAGTGTTGCTAAAATATTATGGCTGAAGTTTCTCCTTACGGAATTGGGAATTGAGTTTGAAAGACCCTTGATGCTGTATTGTG